AAGCACTATGTAGAAGAAGACTGTGAAATTACCAAAATAGAAACAGGCGTATGATAAGTTTGCAGAAAATATCTGTAAACTATGGTGAAGATGTAAGCTTTAATATTTACCGAGGTCATATAAATCCTTTGGAATATGTGAAGTTCCCACCTCACAGTAGAAKAGGCTTCAACTAGCTATCCACAGAGAGAAGATACAGATGACCAGAAGACACTTTAAAAAAAAAAATGCACACCTWCATGAATAATCAAAGAAATGCAAATTACAGGTTTGGAGGGAAGAGTAGTTTTTGTTTTGTTTTTTGTTGTTGTTTTTGCTACTCTAAATTCAATGAAAGAAAATGGAGTCTGATGTTAGACCCCCGTCATCCTGTGTTGTTAGGACTAGAACTTGGCCAAACCTTCTGAAAAACGCTAAACAACAGTAATTTTCGTCCAGGATCCTCTGGAAATAAAGAGCAGGCATGTTCAACTGAAAGGGTGGTTACAAAGTCTCACCAGGCTGAAGCACCCTCAGCCTTACCAAGTGAACAGGAGGTAAAGATGAGAGTGTAAGGACTCCTCTGAAAGAGTGTAGTGTGATTTGTTAACATGCAAATACTTTCACTGCAACKTGAACAATGGTTGGCTTTGTCTCACCGTCTACAATGGGAAGTGCCACTTGTATAATAAGAGGGAAAATGTCAAGCTCAGCACTATCCCTTGGAAGTGTCTCKGAGGCTCTGTGTGAAATTTACATGTTAATGGCTGCATTTTTGTTCTTGATTTTTTGCCTTTCGGGAGTTGGAGCCCAGGGTCTCTCCCATCTAAGCCGGGGCTCTTCCACTACCCCAGCCCTGATAGCTAGCTACATTTGAGAAAGCACAAACCAACAGGGGAAATGAACATTTTATTTACCCTAACCTATTCAGAATATTATTTGAGCCTGTGATCAATATGAACTCATGAASGAGGTATCTTGTATTCTCGTTCTTATACTGTCTCCGAAGCCCGGCGGGTACTGTACACGGTACCACGTGTCACTCTGGACTGGCCACATTTCAAGTGCCCAGTAGCCAGGTGCAGCTGGTGGCCGCCATGTTGTATGGCCCAGGTGTGAATTATTGAATAACTCAGTGGCGGCAGAAAATGGAAGTCACAGAGAAGTTCTGGCTTGGACTCTTGYTTTCTTCTGTGCCCTGTTTACCCTTGAGCCTGCTCTGACGGATGCACCCCCCTCCCCTGTGGCCTGCTGTTCCCTGTGGCCCGAGCGGGGATGCCCAGGGAATGTGCATGCTCGCAGCTCTGGAAGCCTTGTAGTGACTTCTGGGACTTGTTCACTTTCTCTTCCAGGAAGGGTCACACCAAAGCAGAGGATGTTTATCTTTAGGAAGCGGGGTGTGCCCCAGTGTGGCCCGGCAGTGGCTGGTCCAGATCGACTGGCTGGCAGGGAAGGCGGAGCTGGTGCCCAGCCTGGAGGTTCCGAGAGCAGGGTTTGGTCAGGGCTCCCGTCCTCCTCCTCCTCCTCCTCCTCCTCCTCCTTGGTACTGGAACCACCAAGGAGCTCAGGTGAAGCTTGCAGCAGGGCCTGTGCGGTTCCATTCCTAAGCAAAATGGGGGTGTTCTGGCTTCTGCTTCCCGTGATCCGCTCCACCTCTCGCCTCCCAGGGAGTCAGAACACTGGGAGGATCCTGCTGGAGGAGGTTGCCGAGCAGCCATCCTCGGGGACGACTCTAACGGGGAGACGTGAAGTAAGCCTGGGTTCCCAGGGTGTGCGATACACAGCCTCTAGAAGCCCGCCCCACCCTCCTTCTCAGCTGTGGACATCTGCAGAGGCCAGGCAGGAGCACCTCCTGCCTAAGCCGTGGGCCCTGAGTCGGCCAGAAGTGGGCTCACATCCCCTCGCAGAAGCTGTGGGGGGAGTGAGGGATGTGCCCACCTGAGCCTTCGCTTCCCTTTCTGCCGAATTGGGGCAATCAYGGCTCACTCCTTACAAGGTTGCTTTGAGGCTCAGAAGCACACATTTCTTTTGTCCCCAGACAGCGCCTGGCACTCTGCACCCACCCAGTAAAGGAGAGCTGTTGACAGTCCTGCTTTCTCTGCACATGGCCAGAGGCCGGGTGCCAGTTGCCCTTGCGTGACCCCCCAGGGGCCCCTTCTTGTTTTCTCTGCCTCTTTTCGGTGATGGGTGCAGCCGAGCTGGCTGGAGGACTGGCAGAAGCCAAGCCTCACCTGCTCGGGATCTTTCTGACCGAGTCCCACTGTTCCGTGGGAGGCCGGCCTCCAGCTTGGAGCTTCAGTGTCACTGGACAGAGGCCAGTCTCCGGTGGGTGGGAGGGATAGCTATCACTCACCTCCTGCTCAGCCCAGGACGCTCAGGATCAGGAAGCAGCTGCTGGGGAACAAGTTCTCCTTTTGAGGGAGTCTTAACTCTCCCCGTTCCCCCGACACCAGATTGCTATAGATGACCCACTTTCTCCTCCCAGGCAACGTAAACAAGGACCGAATAAACACGTCCAACTTGGGTGTCTGCGGGGGAGGGGGAGGAAGAAGACAGACCTCGGTGGCCATTGGGAAGGAGAAGGAGAGCAAATGAATGGCCAGGGACGCCTGTTCACGTCCCCAGCCGCTGGGCCCGAGAACTGGAGAGCCTCAGGTGGTCTTGAAATTGAAATCTTTTTTTTCCCCAGTATTGGGAGTCGACCCCAGGGCCTCTAACATTTTAGGCAAACCTTCTACCCCAGAGCATCCCCAGCCCCTTTTAGTTTTTTTTGAGACAAGGTCTTGCTAAGTCGCTAACTCACCATGCTCCCGCCTGGGTCTCCCAAGTCACTGGGATGACAGGCATGTGTCACTGCCCCCAGATGTYGAATCAATAGCATGTGTGGATGTGTCCCCCTGGACACAGCTCCGTTGCTGAATCCTACTTGTTTGAGAGAACTTGGCCATAGTCCTGGGGTCACTGGGACTCTGAGCAGTCCTTGGACTAGGGTGCTGTTCCCCAGGACTAGGGTGCTGGTAGAGGGAAGGCCTTCCACTCCCCTTGGCTAGCTCTTACTTTGGGCAAGATGGCGCCTGACGTGGAAGGTCTGGTGCCTGGCTGTGAGCAGTGCAGGTATTGTCTCGCAGCAAGAGACTTGGGCTCTTGTGTCACCTGGGTCCCTTGCCAGCTCTGGCTTGGGCAACTCACCTCCTTGCCCCACAGCCTCCTCAAGGCCACTGGGTTGGATAATCTCTGGCCCAGTGAGAGCTGCATTGAACCCCCTCCACCCCACCGCCTGCGAGGCTGCGTGAGGAAATCACTGGGATATGGAGAGGACGCAGCAGAATGTTGACAGCTGCCCTTTGATCTGCAGAGAGGGTTGGTGACAGGACCCACCCAGGACTCCAAAATCCACAGGTGCTCAAATCCTGAACTTGAAATGGTGTGACGTTTGCATATCACCTATGCACGTCCACCTATGTGCTTCAGTTTGCCTCTGGGTTCCTGGTGACACTATAGAACATGAACACTTGTGTCATCGCTGTGTCACCGTTGGACAGTGTCCAGGAGAGGTTTGGTTTTCTTTTGACCTGGTTTGACGGGAGGTTCATCCAGTCCACAGATGTGGGATCCACAGATATAGGATGCCAACCATATATTAATTAAAAATGAAAACGTACCAATGTGTAAATTGACAACAGACACCTATGTGATCTTTAAAGACTGCTCGCGCGCGTACATGCGCACGTGCCTGTGAGTCAGGTGTTTTTTATGTGACTCGCCCGCACTTTTATAGTCCATCCCTATTTTAGTGCATGCAGTGGGCAGTAAGCCCTGGCTTGAATTCATGACCTAGGTCAAGTCCTCGATTTGGTCTCTCCATCTCTGGAAGGATGACCTCACCATCCCCAGGTATAATCACGGAGCTGTTTCAGGTTCCCATCCTGGGCTTCTAGTTTTTGCTTTGTAACTGTGGCTGTTCGGGCTCGAAATGTCTCCAGGGCAAGGACCTTAAACTCCTTGCACACGTTTTCAAGTAAGAAGGCCTTTCGGAGGTGTGCGTGGGGCTAAAGATCCCAGTGGTTCTGAAGTCAGCTGGGTCCCCTGCAGTCAGCCCCCCTCGGCCTGACGCACTGTTTGAATAAAACACTCTTCTGCCTTCGCCAGGCCTTCTTGTCTTTGCCGGCTCCAGGCCTGCGAGTGTTCCAGAAAGTACCTGATCTTTCTGGGGTGACAAAAGGCAGAGCCACTAGCCTTTACAGACAGGTGAGTCCCAGGACACACTGAGCCGCCTTGGGTAGCAGAATGCCTCCCGTTTTGGCAAAGTTGAGTTCTGCCCCCACCCGGCTGGTGAGACCCAACCCTGGGCCCTCAGCAACCCTGGAGTCCCTGCTTCCAACACCTGCCCTGAACGCATCCCCGGCCTCCGCCTTAGCCAACCCATGTCCTGAGCCCTCTCCTCTTTTCCCTAAACTCCCACAACAGCCCGACCACATTCCCGCCTCTTTTCCCCTGTAAAATCAATGGCAGGAGCTTCCAGGTACAAGCTGCCAGGGAATGACCCGTTTTCTTCAGGCACCCAGAATGGCACCCAGACTCCTCACCTGGTCTGACATGGAAGGCCGTGTGTGGCCTGACTCTGGGCCAGGTGGTCTTTCATAGTAGCCCTTAAGCACTGTGGTCAGCTCCCACCTCAGGGCCTTTGCATGTGCTGCCCTTCCCCTAGACGTTGTTGACACGGCCGGCTCCTCATTGCTCAGTTCTTAGCCTGTGATGCYTTCCTCAGAGGACCTCCCCTCGCCTCCTCACACTCACAGCACCCCATTTCCCCGGCCACAAGGGTATGCTTTATTTACAGCTTTGAACCTCAGTCCCACCCACCCGCACCTCTCTACACACAGGAATATAGCAGTGTCATTTCCGCTGCTTTATTCTCCAGAACCTAATCGACTACCATCGTCCCTCGGAATCCAGGGGCATGGGTTCCAGGACCCCCTCAGATRACAAAATCCAAGGATGCTCAAGACTCTTCTGCAGAGTGTCCTGGTGTTGGCAGAGAAGCTGGCCATGTCCTTGGCACAGGGCCTCCCAGATCCTTCCACCAGCCCTGGGTGACTTAGGACACCYAACACCGTCAGCACATCGTGCACGTAGTCGTTACACAGTGTTGCTCAGCGGAAGCCCACAAGGAGTAGGAAGCCCATTCGCATTCAGTGCAGACAAGTTTTTTTCCCACCAAATATTTTCAGCCAGTGGTTGGTTCAGGCTGTGGATTGGAACCCCCCGGGCATGGAGTCYGTGCATGTGGACGTGTGGCTGTTGGAGACCTGCAATAAGTAGGGCGACGAATGAATGGAGAGGGAATGTGAGCCTCTTGCAGCCGGTGGTGCGCGTCACGACTGAAGTCAGGCCGTGCCAAGGCCCTTTGCCCWACTGTCCAGCCACGTCGCTTGGAGCCGGTATTGGACCAATGGTTGGAAACCCAGGGGCGGCTGCCCTCAGTGTGGGCGTTGGAGCATGTGAACTCCGGGTCCTGGGTTAGGCGGGGGTCAGCGGCAGAGTGGGAGGCCGGCCTGCCTGTCCCAGGAGAGATGAGGGCTGGATCCTGTGCCAGGGCCGGGTCGCTGCCTGGGCATTTGGAGTGGGATGCGTGGGTTCATCYTGTACCCTCTGTCTCAGGAGGGCCTGCTGGGCCGGCTGATCTGGGAGGGTGGCCAGAGGTCCAGGCGAGTGTTGCCACCCACGGTCTCAGGGGCCGAGCAGAGGGTGTGGCCGGCGAGGCCCAGCCAGGAAGAGCTGCTACTCTGGGGAAGGTTCTGTGGTCAGGGCACAGAGGGTGGAGGAATCGGCCCTCAGCACCCAGGACGGCGTTCTGCTCTCCTTACCCCGCAGGGGTGTGGGATGTGGCTTCAGGGTGGAGTGAGTGCGCCCCACAGGGCTAGGCTCTGGGGAGTGGCCGCTGGTGGTGGTGTCACTGGGCAGCCTATTTTAGCTGCTTCCCCGGGCTGAGTCACAGTGCTTAGCAACACCCCTCCCGAAGCCGCAGCTCCTGAGGCCAGTCCTCTTCCAGGTGGCCCCTAAGGCCCCGCTCCAGGACCTGCCCAGGCTCGGCTGGAGCAAAGGCTCTCAGACCCTTCCGGCCATCTCCTCACCCCCAGGGGTGCTGTTAGGAACTCGGGACAGTGAGACCAAGGTCGCGAAACTGCCCTGTCGTGAGCTGCTGCTGGCCCTGAAGCCAGCTGCCTATCCCGTCCCCCCGAGCRGAGGCTTTGGGACACCAGAGCCCCGACCCCAGGCTGTGGCTCCATCGAGGCCCCAGGTCTCAGGACCCTCCTGATGGATGTCCAGGATGGTTTGTCACAGGCCACGGCCTGCTACCCATGCCCTAGGAGTGGGACCTCAGGAAGGAGGGATCTTGGGCAGACCCGCCCGTCTCAGTCTCTGGTGTGGGCTGAAGGGGATCCTGGGGCGGGCTCCGTAGCTGGCCCAGGTTGGRGGGGCATGAATGTGGCAGGCCACACACCGTTCCCCTGTGACCCTGCCCTGTAGCCCTACTTGCTCCCTCTGGGTGGCCACAGAGCTCACCAGGGGTACTCTCTGCATTGCTCACTTCAGATGGGAAACCACAGTGCTTGCCGGTCCYCCGGGCCTGGGAATTTTTGCTGTCACAGTGAAACCCTGTCGCAACCCTGGAGTTCACAGCACGGACTCCCACCCCATTCTGACCCTGACACCCCCTCCTGCCCCTTCCGTGTTTACCTCTTAAATAATATCAATATCCATCTGTTTTCTTTTCCTTTTTTTTTTTTTTTTTTGTACTGGGATTGAGCCCAGGAGCACTTAACCACTGAGCTGCATCCTGGCCCTTTTTAACTTTTTTTTTTTTTTTTAATTTTGAGACAGGGTCTCCTTAAGTTGCCCMGGCTGACTTAGGATCTGCCTGCCTCGGTCTCCCCCCTTTCTGGAACTGTAGGCCTGGGCCACCRTGCAGTGACATGTCTCAGGAGCAGTTCTGACCCCTCAGGGACACAGGGCTAGGTCTGAAGACTGGGTTGTCAAGGCAGGGGGAATGGATGCTGTTGGCATCTGGTGGGCAGAGGCCATGATTCCTGGGAGCGTCCCAGCCTGCAGAGAACTGCCCCAAACCCAAACAAAAACTGTCCACTCCAAAGCCTGGGCACTGTTGGAGCTAGCTCTGGGATTATGCAAGAACTTTCCCGAGGCAGCAGCCGGCTCCTCCCTTCTCTGGGTCCCCTGGCCGGCCCTGGGGGGAGCACTCGATAGGTGGCCATCACTGAATGGCCTGGGGTGGGCAGAGGCGCACAGGAGCTGGGGCTTCAGCCTGGGGCGTCAACCCAGATGACTCACCCGGCTTCAGTGAACTGTTCGCTCAAGCATGGATGAAAGAGCTGCCCTGGGTGTCCCTTCCAGCGATTAGAGACGCCAGCGTTCTGTGAGCACGACTGGGAGCTGGCAGGTGGAAGCCCTGGTGTCAGAAGCCGAAAGGATCCGCAGGGGTCGCATTGAAGCTGCTTATATTTCCTTCTGTGTCCAGCATGACCCATGCAGGCCCTACCTTCCCTTTCTCTTTTGAGCCAAAAGGTTTTCCTCAAAGTTTGGCCCATGACTGGCCCAGGGTTCACCTGTGGTGTGGACGGGTTGGTCAGCCATGGCCCCTGGGCCAAATCCATTCTGCTCTCTGGTTTTGTAAATAAATGTGGGTTTTGCTTTGGTTTTTTACCTTTGGTATAAAGGATGCAGCCTGGGAACAGTCATGAAAGAGGTGCCCAGGGCAAGGTATTGGGGGCCTGGCACACTCTAATGTCCCAGCACTCCATGTCACCAGCACTGCCATTCTGGTAAATAAAATTTTGTAGGGACACATGTGTCTGGTGGTTTGCATATTGGCTATGCTCCCCCCACACACTGGGGATTGAACCCAGGGGCACTGGAGACCAGTTCTCACTCAGTTGCTTGGGGTCTCACTAAGTTGCTGAGGCTGGCTTTGAACTTGCAACCCTCCTGCCTCAGCCTCCTGAGCCACTCAGATTACAGACGTGAGCCACTGCACCTGGCTTATGGCTGTTTTTTCTCTAAGACAGAATTCAGTAGCCGTGGCAAAGACTATATCAGCTACAGAGATGAAAACATTGGTTCTCTGGTCCTGAACAGAGTGTTTGCTGAGCCCTGATCAGGCTCTTCAATGTCTGTCTAGAGGCGGAGGCAGGACAGGAAGGAGCCAGAGGACAGGGAGGATGCTGGTTGGGGTTCAGGCATGTTAGCTTGCTTGAGTGTCTGATGGGAGGAGGGAGAGCCGGCCCATCCGAGGGTCACCTCAAGGCCTCCTGGGAGAGCCCTCTCTGGCTCTGCGGCGTGTCCCTGAGAACTCGGTGCTAGCTGGAGCGTGAGCGGTATCTAGGGCATGGTGAGGGACACTCTGCCGGTCGGGGAGGCCATCAGACTGGGCTGCAGGGACTTAGGTGGAATGAGAGTGTGGGGGGAGGGTGTCCCAAGGCACAGAGGTCAGGGTGGGAGCCCCGGAGCTGTGCCACGGGCTGAAGTGAAGACAGAAGCTGAGAAACTGGGGGTCCTAGGAGGGCGGGAGAGAGGTGTGTGACTTTCCAAGGACAATTGAAGACCAAATAGGTGGCACCCAGGACTAGACAGAAAGCAGGACACAGACCCACAGGAGCCCTGAGGAAGCTCAGAGGACAGGTCTCAGTTCAGGCAGGGGCGGGGAGGACTGGCCCTGGCTACACCCTGGGGAGCCTCGCCTRAGCCTGGGGGTGTTGGGGCCCAGAGGGTGGGCTGCTGCCACAGGACAGCCCCCAGTGCAGACGCTGGAGGGCTGGCCTTGAGGGAGGGGTGGGCGGTCCCTGGATCCAGGGGATCACTTGGATGTGAGATCCTGGGGGACAGTTTTGTTTTAGCCAAGTGAAGGAAGGACAGCAGGACCAGGAAGGAGGAGGGACCACCCAGGCCCTGCCCCCTGTTCTGAGGGGTGCAGAGTGAAGGGTGGGCCTGGAACCCTGTGTCAGCAGGGCCTCGCCCGCCTCCCCCACCTTGCTGTGTTAGGGCTCTGCACCTGTCTCCCCCACCCTACCCAGGGGTAGTGCCTCTGGGGAGAAGAGGGCTGGTTTGGCCTTGACTCTGAACTGGAGCTTGGCCCTTGCCGTGAGCTCTCCTGAGCCCCCTCTGTTGTTTGGATTTCTAGTTATCTTCACCCAAGGGTCTGCAGGTTCTACAGGGACTACATCATTTGGGGTCTAGTCCTTGTCTCCCTGTGTCCCTAATAACTACAGAAAGTGGGAGAGGTTCTCCTTATCTTGAGCTCCCTGAATGATCCTGAGCAAAGACCGCGGGGCCCCTCGCTGGAGATGCCTGGGCAGGATCTTCATTTATAGGTACCCAGCAAGGACTAGGAGGCCAGGGAGCTGGTTCTGTGGGTGCTGGACACCCCACCCCAATTCTGATTCAGAAAGACAGCCGGGCCGCCCACGCATATGGAGGTACCAAGCAGCGTCTCCGTCTCCTGGGGCCCGTCTTAACCACTCCCTTCTCTCTGAGGACTGTGACTCAAGCTGAGGTGTCCACCAACTTCATAGGGATGGGGGTAGACAGCAGAAAGAACTTTCAGCATGTCTCCAGACCGCCTTCCTGGGAATCCCTGGGCACCTTGACGCCCTTGACCCCTGCACTGTTTGTTCTAGTAGCAGCCTGGTTTGGTGAGGGGCGGAGATGGGGAGGCATTGTCCTTTAACAGATGATTTGTTTCTCAGGTTTCAGGAAAAATGTGTCTCTGGCTTACTGAACTCTAACCAGATTTGCAAAATCGCTCCTCTGCCCCGGGAGACCGCGGATGGAGAAACGGGCAGCGTTTTGAAATGGCTGGCTGGGTTGTGGAGCATCGTCTAGTGTTTTTTTGCAGGGGAGCTGGCTTTAAGTGACAGCCCCGTGGCAGATGGGCTTTGGTGCTGGTGGCCAGCTGTGCTAACCCCTGCCTCCTGTCTGCTTTCAGCCCTATGATCTCCGCGTCCTCCCCTGCTCCACCTGCCGGACTTGGACTTCAGCCCTGACCTCCGGAGGGTGCGCCTCCCTCCCACCGGCAAGATGCCCATCCTCAAGCAACTGGTGTCCAGCTCCATGCACTCCAAGCGCCGCTCCCGCCTGGACCTCACAGCTGAGATGATCAGCGCTCCGCTGGGTGACTTCCGTCACACCATGCACGTGGGCCGGGCTGGGGACGCCTTTGGGGACACGTCCTTCCTCAACAGCAAGAAAGGTGAGCCCGACGGAGAGTCTCTGGATGAACAGGCCTCCACGTCATCTTCCAAACGCAGCCTCCTGTCCCGGAAGTTCCGGGGCAGCAAGCGGTCTCAGTCGGTGACCCGGGGGGACCGGGAGCAGAGAGACATGCTGGGCTCCCTGCGCGAGTCGGCACTCTTTGTCAAGAATGCCATGTCCCTGCCCCAGCTCAACGAGAAGGATGCTGCGGAGAAGGGCTCCAGCAAGCTGCCCAAGAGCCTGTCGTCCAGCCCCGTGAAGAAGCTGGGTGCCGGAGAGGGCAGCGGGGAGGAGGCGGGCGCGGGGGACCTGGGTCCCCGGCGGAACGGGGCAGTGGCTCCCTACCCCCCTGACCCCCTGCTGGATGAGCAGGCCTTCGGGGACCTGACGGATCTGCCCGTGGTGCCCAAGGCCAGCTACGGGCTGAAGCACGCCGAGTCCATCCTGTCCTTCCACATCGACCTGGGGCCCTCCATGCTGGGCGACGTCCTCAGCATCATGGACAAAGAGGAGTGGGACCCGGAGGAGGACGGGGGCGGCTACCGTGAAGAAGAAGGCCTCGGGGGCAGCGCCCAGGGCCCCCCGGTGGCCGAGGCGGCCCCTCCCCTGGTGAGGCAGGACGGCAAGGGCGGCCCAGACTTGGCCCCGCTGCCCTCCCACGCTCTGGAGGACGAGGGGTGGGCGGCGGCTGCCCCCAGCCCCAGCTCGGCCCGCAGCGTGGGCAGCCACACCACGAGGGACAGCAGCTCCCTCTCCAGCTGCACGTCGGGTGTCCTGGAGGAGCGCAGCCCGGCCATCAGGGGCCCAGACAGGGCCCGGGTCACCCTCCCCAGGCAGCCCGACAAGGAGCTGTCCTTCATGGACGAGGAGGAGGAGGAGGACGAGATCCGAGTGTGAGCCTGTGGGCAGGTCGCCGCTCCTGGGAGCTCTGGGGCTGCGTGTTTCTCTCTGCCCCCTCCCCACTGTGACCTTTGTGTGACCTTTGACCTTACCATGCGGGGGGGGGGGCACCCAGAGCCTCCCTGGACCTCGCGGATGAGGGGCACCGGCCGAGCCCTCCAGGACTTGGGGCCCGAGGAGGCCCAGGGCCCACAGGAGGGGCTTGCCTGGCTTTGCGTCGCGACCCGCAGCTGCAGAGGCCCGCTGTGTTCTTGTAGCAGGAGTCGTTTTTCCTCTCGCCTCCCTCTCCTCCAGCCTGGCCTCACATGGATGCCAGATGTCAACCTGAGTTCCTGCCACGCGCAGCCACGCGGGTCACCAGAGGCAGCCTCTGCTCCAGGGCCAAGGACACTGGACGCCCCTTCCTCTCAATGGGGCCTCGTGCAGCAGGAGGAAGGGGGCGCTCACAAGTCCCTCCCCTGACTCCTGCCCCGGAAGCCTGGAGCCCCTGGGAGCAGGCTGGAGCAGGACAGCCAGCTGGACACTGAGCACAGCCCCTTCCTGGGAGCGGGGGCAGGGGTGGGGGGCGCAGAAGGAGAGCCCCAGGATGACACTAGGAACAGGGCTGGGGCCGAGCCCTTTGGTTGTATTTGTCCTTTGTTATTATCATGTTCAGATCCCATAGAGAGCAACATCAGGAACTGTCCCTAGGCTGCCACCAGAAGGAAAATGCAATCTTTTTTAGAAAACCTTTTTACTCCTTCTTCTGGAAATTCAGGGGCCGTCAGCACACTCAACGTCTGGGGCCGGTCCTGTGGCAAAGAACCCAGCCCGACTCCAGCGATAGGGGGTAGGAGTGGCTCTTGTTCCTGCCCCTGCCCCATGTAGGAAAGTTCTGGAAAATGATTGTTAAAGAAAAAAATAACACATCCTTGAGGGGGAGCTGTGTCCCTGCAGCTGCCCGGGGCCCCCCCCAGGGTTCTTCCCCTTCCTGCCTCAGGCTCCTCCCCCACTGCCAGGCCAGGAGGTTGCCAGATTTAGCAAAAGCAAAACACAAACCAGAAGGCTGGGTTCATTTGAGTTTCAGGTAAACAAAGACTTGGTTTTGAGTACCAGTGTCCCCCTGTAACATCTGGAACATTCTTACACTGAACAGTCCTGTGCTGTCTTTCTGAAGCTCAGATTCTCACTCTGCCTCCCTCAGTCTTCCCCAGAAGACCGAGGAGAAGCCTGAGAAGGAGCCCCAGGGGGGACAGCCGGTTATTTTTCTGTCCTGGGAACAGGCTGACCCACTGCCTGGTCTCTGGCCCGCAGGAGGGGGGAAGAGCGCTAACTACAACAGGGGGCCTGGGCCAGTCTGGCGGATGCACCCGCGTCCCCGGGCTGGCCGGACCCCGACTCTGAGACACTAACCTGGTGCGACCCAGCGCCCCTGGGTGCTCCTGTTTCCGTAGCTTAGCTCCCGAGATGGGCGAGCTGGCAGTGGGTAGGCTGCCCACCCGCGGTCCTGAAACCCCATCCAGTCAGCTCCAGACTTTAAAACTGTATTTTCTTTTTCATGATATTGTTAAAGCAGCAAGAAGACATTAAAAAAAAAAAAAAAAAAAAAAAAAAAACAGCCCTCCAGCGTGCCTGTGTTTGTCTCTGCGCTTTGGGGGGCTTACTTCAGGATGGGGGGGACTGTCAGGAGTTCTGGGGCTGCCGGTGCAGCTTCCCTCTGACCCTGGGGGCCGTCCCCTCCCCTGTGGCACTGCAAACACGGGAGCCCCTTGGAAGGACAGGTCTCCTGAGCCCCCTGCCTGGTGGCCCTCCGGGCTCTGGAACCCTGGTACTGTTGGCCAGTTGGGGGCCTTGGTCACTGAGCCTCTGCGCACCTCCTCGTCCCGCTCTTTCGAAGCTGGTGTGGACGCTCTTTCGAAGCTGGTGTGGACGCTGCGTAACAGGAGCTGTTTGATGGAGTGAGGGGCCGTGTTCTCCTGGGCCTCCCACTTAGCTCCCCTCCCCCTTCCTTCTGGAGAGCCCCACCCCCACCCCCTGGGGGCATGCTCTCCCTTCAGTCCTGCTGCTCAGGGAGGTAGCATCTCTCCTCCTGTCACCATTTCCCAGGTGAAGAAATGTGCTTTGACAGGCCGACGGCTGCGTCTCCGAAGTCGCCGATTAACCAGAGTTGGAATCAGAACATCATTGATCCCCAGCCCCTGCCCCTCACACCCCCCAAAGCTTCACGGCCTTGGGTGCCCCCTGCCCCCAGGCTACCTCACCCCCTTGCTCTCCTCGGCCAGGGCTGCTCTGAGGAGGGAGCATGGCCTGGGCAGGCCCTGCTCCTGTCCTGAAACGCGGGAAGCCCTGCCCTTCTCCCCCAGGCACCTCCTCCCGGGGAAGCAGTCAGAGGCATAATTAAGTGTCGCCCAGGTCCCTCCACCCAGACAGTCTCAGTAGAGCTGATGAAGGATGTGGCCAGGCGGTGCGGGGTGCAGTGGCCCCCAGGGAAGGAGAGTGACAGGGAGCAGGGCTGGGGCACACAAGGACAGCCCAGCCCAGGTGATGGGGCTGCCACCTGGCTCAGACGTGCTGTTGGAGGGAGGCACTTCAGGTGAGGCCCGGGAAGGTGCAGCCGAGGGCCGTGAGTGGGGCTGTCCCTCCGGACGGTGTGAATCCAGGGGAAAAGCCACCTCACCCACAGGGACTGGCCCAGGATTTTTTTAAGTTGGTGAATTATAATTACCAGTGGGAGAATCCAGGGTTCTCAGCCCAGTATCTGTATTGACCACCATGGGAAGCCACCACCAGGGACCCGCAGGGAGACCCCGAGGCTGCTCGCATAGAGCTCCACCTGTGGTTTGCCCAGTTCCACCAGGTGGCCTCGGGGCCAGTTGCTTTCCCTCTCTGAGCGGCTTCGGTTCCTCCACCTTCAGAATTAGGTGCTGTCCAGTGGTCTTCAGTTTTTTGTTTGCTTGTATCAGGGATTGACCCCAGGGGCGCCTAGCCACAGAGCCACCTCCCTAGCCCTTTTTCATTTTGAGACAGGGTCTTGCTAGGTTGCAGAGGCCAGCCTTGAACTTGCAATCTTCCTGCCCCATCCTGAGTTGCTGGGATGACAGGTGGGTGCTGCCGCTCGCCCCTGGCTGTTCACGGCTTATGACAGGAGCTTCTCCTGCGTTGAGGCCAGGTGTTGAGCTCTGTAGACCAAGCCGGTGTTCCCTGGGTGGGTGGGCTCGGGGTCCTCCCTCTTCCCTCCCCATGCCCTTGGTCCTGAGACGCACCCGAGATAGCAGACACTGAGTGTCTCAGCTTAATGGTGTTCCGTGGGGACCCTCCTACCTGGACAACTCAAAGCAGGACCGGCAGCTGATTCCGGGTGACCATGTAGTGATTTTAATTCAGCTCTCAGCCAACATTTCCCCAAAACTGAGGGGACCCAAAGCCGCTGGCCCATTGAGGAAGCTGCCTGCCCCGCCCAGGCCCACCTCCTCCATCCCCACCCCCTGCTCCCATGGGGCACCTCCTGTTTGGTTCTGTGAGCGCGATGGCGGCTGCATGTGTTCACAGTCGCGACTGCCGCGTGCGAGGTGCTGGTCTCCGCACAGGCCCCATTTAAAGCTCCTCACAACTCAGTGAGGTCCACGCTCTTCCTGTGGGCCCCGATTTACGGGTGGGGCCGCTCAAGGAGAAGGAACTGGGGCACCCCAGGGGCTGGTCAATGGAGTGTCCAGGTGCAGCCCAGGCCTGGGCTCCAGTGCCCTTCCTCAGGATCACTAGTCCTCCCGCCTGATGACCTCCCCTCTGGGACCTGGAGTGACCAGGTGGGGCCAGTGCCTGGTGGGGCCTCGCAGGACAGAGGCCCAGCTGCAGCACTCCCGGGAGACCCACCTCCCTCCCACCCGGCTGCTGGCCCTGCCCTTGCCAAGTTCACTTCCGTCTCTGTCACACAGGACCAGAGCTGCCATGGAGGCTGTCCCACATGGTGTTCACCTTTGACCCTATTGTCACCTGTACCCAAGCCACCCCTCCTCTCCACCAAGGCTGTGACACGTTCCCAGGGGAACCCAGGATGGCAGATATCTGAGGAATTCTTCAGCTCCTGCCCGTGGTTTAGAGATGGGCAGGGCAGTCCCAGGTGGAGATGGCTGGCATCTTTGGCTCTGGCCTGGCAGGGGAGGGCCAGCTGCGGGGGTGGACCCATGGGCCCACGGCGGGGGCGGCGGGGAGATGCCAGGACTGGGGCAAGATGGAGCGGCCGGGCTCAGGTGTTTGCCACACTCCCGGCCCCTCCTGGGCTGCCCCTGAGGCTGGACCCTTGCAGGACAGCCTTTCCACCCGTGGGCAGGCCCCCTCCCTGGCACGCCCCTCACCTGAGCCGTTAACCTGGGCACAATTCACTCCTGGGCCCTGAGGCCCCATTGGAGATGCAGGAAAGAAAGTTAGGAATAAAAATGGAAGGCTTCCCTCCCCCTTCCCCTTTGCAGTCTTCTGCAGGCCCCGTGGCTCCCGGCCAACCGACAGATGGGAGTCGGGAGAGAAGGTTTGGGAGGAGGGAGCAGCGTTCCCAGGCAGATGGATGTCAGTGGTTTGGCCTTGGAACCTGTTGCCCCCACCCGAGGCCAGGCTTGTTCTTCCAAAGGGAGACGCCCAGGAGTGGCCTCAGGAGCCCAGGGTGGCCGCCTTCCTCGCAGGAATCCAACCCCAGTGACCCTTGGCACGTGGAAAAATATCTACCAAGGCCACAGGGATGGACTGCATTTTATTTTCCTTCTGTGCCCTGTTTTGTTCCAGAAAGTTCTGGAGGCGGTCTACAGAGATAATCAACTACAATAGGACAAAAATAGATGAGAGCGAGAACAAGGCAGGAACCATCGGTGCAACCCACCGGGGGCGGGGCCGAGGAAGCCTCTCAGGTGGGCCACCCACCGCAGTTCTCAGAGGCAGGCTGCACCCGGGGCTCTGAGCTTCCTGTTGGTCAAAGCAAAGAGGGCAACTAGCCGGCTTCAAGACTCACAAGGTCACGATGAACCCAGAAGCAGATGGACGCTTCCTAACACTAAGGTCTAAAAGCAATCCATGAGGCCTGGGGAGGGCCAAGGTCACATTCCAGGCCAAGGTCTCAGCCGAGGTCTCCAAATACAGAGCAGCGGACTGAATGTTTACATTGTCAACATCTTAACCATCCCCCTGGAGGTGGGGACTTCAGGAGGTCATGGAGGTCATGAGTGTGGAGCCCTTGTGAATAGAATTAGTATCCTTGGAAAAGAGGCCCCAGGCCATGCCACACCTGTAATCCCAGTGACTCTGGAGGCTGAGGCAGGAGGATCGAAAATTCAGGCCAGGCTAGAAAACTTAGTGAGATCACATCTCAAAATAAAAGTGGACTGGGGATGTAGCTCAGGGGTGTAGTGGTAGAGGCTGGCCTTAAACTTGGGATCTTCTTGCTTCAGCCTCCCCACTTGCTGGGATTAGAGCTGTACACCATCATGCTAGGCCAAGTCACATTTTTTTATTTAAAGCATGAAAAAGATTTGTGGAGTCCCGTGAGGAAAAGGATATATCCTTACCTTATCAATCACCTGCATGACTGAGAAAATCAGCACCTTTTTTTCACTAATAGAGGGCCACTGTGTGGGTACACTTGAGGAGTGGCTGAATAGGAAAAGCTTTCTTTCTTCTTTTTTGGGGGGTGGGTACAGGGATTGTACAGCCACATCCCCAACCCTCTTTATTTTAAGACAAGGTCTCCCTAAGTTGCTTAGGACCTCACTAAATTGCTTGAACTTGCAATCCTCCTGCCTCAGCCTCCTGAGTCCTTGGGATTACAAGCATGTGCCACCGAACCCGGCTGCATAGGACAACCTTTCTAATTCCACATCCTAAAATCAAAGGAAGGAAGTCATTGAAGTGCTTTTTTTGTGGTGCTGGGAATTGAACCCGGGGTCTTCTGCATGCAAGGCAAGCGCTCTACCAACTGAGCTACACCCCAGCCCAGAAGGAAGGCATTGAGAAGTCGGCCGCCCAAGGCCTGCCCTCTGTCCTCTCCTGGCTGACCAGAAAGACGGCCCTGAGCAATAGCACTTCCTCCCCTTCTTTCTTCCTTACTTCCTCCCTCCTCCTCGCCTGCCCCCTTCTATACTGAGAATTGAGCCTCGGTCCTGCACATGCTAACCACGTCTCTGCCACTGAACCACATCCACCCCACCCCACATATTCCACCCCACTATTTTTTTTTATTGATTTGTTTATTTGTTATTGATTTACAGTGGGGACACCCCCAGCTACACCCCTAAGTCCTTTCCTTACTTTGTTCTTTTAACTTTTTCTGGTGGTGCTGGGGATGGAACCCTGGGCCTTGGGCATGCCAGGCAAGCGCTCTACCATCTGAGCTATATCCCCAGCCCCTTAATTTTTGAGTCAGGGTCTTGCTAAATTCCCTGGGGCCAGCCTTGAATTTGTAATCCTCCTGCCTCAGCCTCCGGAGTGGGTGGGATTAGTGTTTCTTACAACCAGGGTTCCTCCCTGGCTCTCAGGCAAATGAGAGCTGACTGCAGAGAGCTGGAGGTTGTATTTTCTGAAAACAAACAAACAAAAATCTGTAGTGCTGGCTCATTTATTTGTCAAATAAGTGTCAAACACCTACCCTATGCCAAGCACTCTGGAAGGTGCTGGGGTGACAGATAAGATAGATACAATCCCAGGTTGGCAGTATGACTGGGGTGGGTTCCTTCCATCATGAAAATTGTTAAAATGCTGCATCACTTTGGTTTACATATTTTCTCTTGGGATTCCTCCTCACCCCCCACACACACTGGGAATTGAACTCAGGGACACTGAGCCACATCCCCAGCCTTTTTTTTTTTTTTTTTTTTCGAGACAGGGTCTTGCTAAATTGCTGAGGCTGACCTCAAACTTGAGATCCTCCTGCCTCAGCCTCTGGAGTTGCTGGGCTCACAGCATGAGTCAACATGCCCGGCTCTTGGTTTTAAAAGAAATTAGGACGTGCTGATGGGGCCCTAACTGTGCTCAAGGCCCTGGCCCTGTGCTGCCAGCCTGGTGGAGAAGCCGCCCAGCTGGGTCCAACCTCCACGGCTTGGGGCGCAGGGTGAGAACAGACGCCACAAGCCAGAGATGAGCCAAAGCTTGGCCTCAGGGGCTGAAGGCTCTGGAGAAAAGGCCCCCTAGGTGCTGGGGCCGAGGAGAATCCAGGTCTCAGATGGGGTGATGGGGCCTGGAGACTCCCTAAGGAAGAGGCGTTAAAACCAGATCAAAAGGGTGTCCACAGCTTGGTCTCACCTCCGCCAGAAGCCTCCCCTCCTTGCCGATGTTGGAACCCAGTGGTCCTGCAGTGACCCTACAAATGCATTGCCCAGGACAAGCTCTTGGGAAGTCAAGGACACACCTGCTTTTCACTTTAGCATCTGGGTGTCATGAAAATTCCTAGAGAGGAAGACTGAGGGGGCCATGATTTGGGGGAATTGGAATTTGGTCTCAGATGTAGGGAAGCTGTATTAGTCAGCTTCCTGTCACTATTAACAAATACCTGAGGTAATCAACTTAAGAAGAGAAAAGGTTTGTTTTAGCTCACAGTGTTGGAGGCTTCCCTCCAAGGCTACGGCCCCATTGATTTTGGGGTCTGTGGTGAAGCAGCAGACCACGGAGGGAGCAACCGCCAGGAACTGAGAGAGAAGGAGAGAGACAGACAGGAAGAGGAAGGGGAGGGGCCTGGGTCCCATTCTTCCCTTCTAGGACGTACCCCAGTGACCTAAATCCTACCACTAGGCCCCTCCTTTTAAGGGCTCCCCTACCTCCCAACAGCATCACTCTGGGGGGACAAAGTCTTTAACACAGGCGCCTTTGGGGGACGTGACATAAAATACAGGAGGAGCCATTTCAAGTCGTTCAGCTGTTAGGACCTGAACTTTTGTGTCAAAGCCTGAACCTTCATGGGATGGTGGCAGGAGGTGGGGCCTTTGGAGGTGATTAAGTTAGATGAGGTCAGGAGGAGGGGGACTGCAGGCTGGGGAGAGCACCTCCCCGGGAACTGAGCCTGCCAGCCCTGGATGTCAGACTGTCTGCTCTTCAGATGACTGTTCTGTCACAGGGGCCCCGGCTGACGGTGACGTGGGTGGCCGCGTGCTGGAGGAAACGCAGCCGGACGTGGAGCTGTTGACCAGGAGATGGAACCCAAGGCCCAGCTAGGAACTGAGGCCGGTCAGGCGTGAGAGGCCCTGGCTGGAGGGGAGGCCAGGACGGGCGGGCTCAGGGTGCACCGCGTCTCCCTCCGGCACCCAGGTCCAGGCTGGGAGAAGGGGGCCACCCTCTGCCACTGGCTCCTGCCGCCCACATCCCTGGGCTTTGTGAACAAAATGGGCACAATTGACTCCCTGTCAACAGTCAGGCCTGGGGCGCTTTTCCATCTGGGCTCTGTCTGCCTCGTGACCCGAGAATTGTCCACCGATGCAGGCTGGAGGGCAGTCTGGGGATGGAATGGAGTTTTTCCTCCAGACCCCATTGACCCAAAGGCAGATCCAGCGTGTGACCTTGGACTCACAGTCCACCGAGCCAGGCTCACCAGGCCAGGCCTGGGAGGACAATTCTGTCACTGTCCTGGTCACAGCCAGAGAGTGGATCCCTGTTTATAGGCCACCCTCCACCAGATGAGGTTGTCCACCCACAGGGGGAACGTGAGCCCAGCTGCTGGGTTAGGACTCTGTTCATAATCATGGTCTGCCTTGACCTTCTAGGTTTTTCTTTCCTTCTGTGTTATTATTTATTTATTTATTTAGGTACTGGGGATTTGGCTGCTTTACCCCTGAGACACATCCCTGGCCATTTTAGTTGCTAAGGGCCTGGGAAAGTTGCTAGGCCTGGCTGGAACTTGCTATCCTCCTGCCTCAGCCTCCTGAGTCGCTAGGACGACAGGTGTGCACCTCAGCACCTGGAGACCTTCTACATTTTTTTTTTTTTTTTTTTGTGTGTGTGTGTGTGTTTTATAAAGGACAGAATGGTTTCTCCGGGTCCAAGGGCAGGGGAACTTCTTTCCCTGGCTGCCTGGCAGCTGCTGGAATCTGACTGAGGGTCTGCTGGATGCAGAGGGTTCTCTGGAGAGCAACCCCAGGACTCTGCAGGCCTAGGGTTCTCTCTCAGAAGCAAATTCACCGACATCACAAAGCAGGTCTCTTGGTGACTCCCCAAGGCCTGAAGCTGCAGCCCTTCCCATCTGGAGATCCAGCCTGAACCATGGTCTCTGTGTCCTAAATGCAAGCAAGTGCAATCCCGGCTCAGCCCTTGAAGTCGCTCTTCCTGTCCCTGGCTTTGTCCCATCTCCTCCAAAGCCTTCCCTGGACGCCCACGTGGGAGCTAAGTGGTCCTGTGACAGCCCCTCCAGTGCCTCTGTCCCCGCCTGGCCCCACTGAACCACCAGTGCGTTGTTGGTCAAGTGCCCTCTGCCTTGTCTCCTCACTGCTGCTAGGACAAATGACCACGAATGCAGTGGCACCACGTGACACAGGGTATGGCCGTTCTTGAAGCCAGAAGGTCCACATGACTCTCTGGGCTAAAATCAAGTTGTGGGCAAGGCCGCCTGCCTCTGTCTTTGGGGGAGGCCCTCCCAGCTTCTGGAAATCTCCTGCCCGTCTTGGCTCGGGGTGTCTTCAGGTCCAGCTGCGGAGAGCCTTCACCTCTCTCTAGGGGCTGGGGTGCAGCGCAGAGGGGGAGTGCTGGCCTCGCAGGTGCCAGGCCTGGGGCCAGCCACACACACAAAACAACGGACCTCTCTCTGCACCCCCCCTGGCCTCCCTACGGCCCTCTTGGAGGCCCCCAGTGATGATGTTGGGCTACCGAGACAATCCAGGGTGCGCTGTCCAGGGCATGTCCCTAAGTGAGTTGCCTCTGTGAAGTCCCCTTTGCCACATGTGGTGACATAGTCACAGCTTCTGGGGTGGGGATGCAGCCCCCGATTCTGCTGACCACACTCTCCTAGGCAATGGACGGTCTTGCTCCTTCTGGATCTTTGGAGTGAGTAGAAGGTGGAAGGTGTTCTTCAGTGAGTGCGTGAGTGAGTGACGGATGGAGAGCTCCCCACAGGGGCCACAAGCCAGCTCAGGATAGCCTGAAGGAGGGGCTGTGGCCACCTAGGAAGAGATCAGAGTGTAACCTGAGCTGGCCCCATCTGCCGACTCAGGTTTGGGGACAGTGAGGCCTCTCTGCCTTCCCAAACTGTGGTCACAGGGCTCCTTCTCTGCAAAGCATCAGGGGCTGTGGGTGAAGCTGGGGCCTGGGGAGTTTCCCCTCTGAGTCCCAGGAGGTTTTGACCAGTTTGCTCAGCCTGGAGGGGCCCTGGACACGGAATGGAGGAGGGGAGGGTGATCTTAAAACCACACTGAGCCAGGTATGGTGGTGCACACTGGTAATCCCAGTGGTTCTGGAGGCTGAGGCAGGAGGATCTCAAGTTTGAGGCCAGCCTCCGCAATTTAGTGAGGCCCGAAGCAAATCAGCAAGACCCTGTTTTAAGATAAAAATAAAAAGGGCTGGGGGTGGGGGCTCAGTGGTAAAGCACCCCTGGATTCAATCCCCAGAACACCCCCCTAAAACAAACAAACAGACAAAGCCCATACTGAGAAGTGCAGGAAGAAAGCTGTGAGGTCTCCCTTTCAGGCCAGGGCAGAATCCCTGAGCCCTAAATGTCCCATCTCCTTGATTCTTAGTCCAAAATCTGCAGTCTCACTCAGAGGCCCGCAGAAGCTGGATCACTGCCCTGGGCCCAGGGATCTTGCCTCACCTGCCCAGGAGAGCAGGGCCCTTCCCCAGGCTGCAGCACGGGAGCTGAGAGGGGCTTGGGGTCACCCAGACCTGAGCTCGGGTCTTTGGAAGCTGGGTGCAGGTCCCAGATCTGACTGACTCAGACACTCTGGCCCCTGGGCCACCCTGCCCTGTACTTTAAGTGGCTATTGTGAGCTCAACAGCTGTCCCTGCCAAGTGGCATCT